ACCTTGTGGAAAAAGTTCTTCTCCTGTGGACGGTGGCCAAATCAGAGTCAGGCGTCAGCCAAGGTATCATGAGAGGAGTCTGGACAGTGCTTCACCGACATCAGCAAGTCAGTGTTTCAGATATACATTTCACTGTGTCTGACCAGCCTCCAACTCATCACTAACCGTCTGCATGAGCGTGGACTCGGCGTTCGCCACCAGCACAAAGACATCGGCGTCCAGGCAGTGGGCGTCGATCCAGGCGTCCAGACCCTGTGGTAGGCGGCAGGACGCGGTCAGACCAACCGGTATCAGAGAAAACGACAGGTGGGAGATTATCAGTCACCCAGCGCCACTCAACGGACGATTGATATAGAAGTTAAACACCCACACCAGCCAAGTTGCGCGTCATATTTTGAACGGCCCACTGAGTTTCGTCCAATCCGTGACGTTATATCCAGACTGTAATGATGCCGTGCACGGTGCAATCATGACTGATAATTGTTACCTAAGATGTGCCATGCAAACCTCAGCTGTAGGACGACGCATCCACAAAAGCATACTCACTAGAGTCACATGACGTCCCCAGTATCAGTAACGTCGCACCCATCTGAGTGACGTCACACCCATCCTCAGTGACGTCACACCCGCCCTCAGTGACGTAACACTCACCTGAGTGACGTCGATGCCGGGTGAGTCCACGAACACCACGTCATCCCTGAGCAGATGGCAGCGCTGTTTGGGCCAGTGCACGTACACGACGGCCGACTCGTCCAGCTTCTCCTTGTGCAGCGCGTGACCGAGCTGAGCCACCGACTGGGGACATGGGGGGGGGGGACGGGGGGGAGTTAATTGAAGCGGCGGGTCTGGGAGCTACCGAACTGTGCGGGCGTCCCCGTCACGTCGTAACCGGGATAAATAGTGATTTATGGTATTGGTCAGCCCGCCGATACACTGTAATGAGCTCAGCGATAAACCGGGAGAAGCCATCATTCACCTACTTCAGGTAATACAAGTCGTACATATCTACAGTACATTATCTGCGGTCTATAGTACGGCATTCAGGTCATATCTACGGTACAGGTTCAGGTACTTTGTATCGTTCCTCTCAAATCACTCCCACATCATTCAACCATCCCTCTCGGCTCCTTCATCCCTCCTCCATCCTCTCATCTCCCCTGCACCACCCACCTCGACACTGCGCCTTTGTCCGTCGTCTCCGACGGTGAGGAAGGCCTCGTCGCCGTCGACGCCCTCCACCTGGAGGAAGCAGTGCGTCGTGTGGCCCATCCCGCTCGGCAGCACCTTGTCGCGCAGCATGGCGTTGATCACTGAACTCTTGCCGTTGCTCGTTCTGTGGTATGGTGATGCATACATGGGGTGAGTATGAAAAAAACGGCAGCCTTTCGATGCTTGATGTAAAATTTGACGATCGTGGGGTAATTATCAGGAAGAATACGGTTCTTCAATTCGATGTAAGTTTATTCCTACAGGGCTAGTGGGCCAATCATGCTATAGGTACTCTGTGAGTGGGACACTTGAAAAGATAGACTGAAGTTCTCAGGTAGGTGTTGGGGGTAATGAGATTCGGTAAATTGATTGCTTGGAACGGTCTGTATTGAACATAAAACGGATAGAATGACTGACCTGCCGAAGAAGGCGACCTTCATGTGGTTTCGGGCCAGCACCTCCTTGATGCCTTTGACCTTCTTCTGCAGGGCCTGGATATTTTCTGCCTGATCAGCCGTCAGCAGATCCTTGTCCGTGGGAATATCTGCGTCAGAAATAATTGGAAAGTACTGATAACGTGACACACGAAACTTTGTCGGCAATCGAGACGAAATTTGTCATATAGACGAGCTGTCATCAAACGACCACTGAAACATGTACATGTGCAAATAATTACCAATGCACTCACATGACAATGCACAGCTCACATGACAATGCACAGCTCACATGACCACTAGTAGTGACAGTGACAGGATCACATGACAGGATGGGTAGTACGGGGACCCGCAGTTGCTACTGTACACGAACCCCAACTCTAGCCGTCTGTCTTGTCCAGCGACAACCGATAACATTGCCATCGACTGCCGGTCCCTGTACAAGAGCAGCTGAGGTTTTCTGTGCGTGCCCTCTGACAGCTTATCGTTGATCCCTGTGAGGGTGCTGGGACAATTTACCCAGGGTCGCTGTACAGTAGCAACTGCGGGTCCCCGTACCTCACTAATTCATGTCACGCGGCAGGACGAGCGCACTCACTGTTGACGAAGCGCACCACATCCAGCACGTAGCCGTCGATGCTGTCGTAGATGTCGTTGATGCGCTTCTTGGCCTTGACAAACACCTGCAGCGGCGAGGAGGAGGGCGAGTGCTGCCGCTTGGGCGCCGGCTCTCGCTCGGCGGCCGCGTCACCGTCACCGCCGCTGGGGCCCGCCGGAGCCGTCGACAGGGACCGGCTGATCTTGCCAGACATGGCCGTGGGCGGCGCCACCGTGAGCGATTGGTGCTTCAGGTATCACCGCCTGTAACATTGGAGGAAGAGGGAACAAGGTGTGATTGTACTGTACAGAATCTACATTGACAGTCTGACCCGTCTTCAGTGAGCCACTGATTGTTACATAGGTATCAGAGCTCAGCTCGTAGACTGCTACACAACCCAAAAAGACATCAGGGGTTTGTGATGCTCCAGTGCTCGATATCATGAGACTCCCGACAATTATCATGAGACTTCTGATGGGGGATGGTCTGCAGTTGGTGGGAGCAGCTGAAGCCAGTTGAGTGAAACAGACCACATCTGGCTTTGATGGCACACTTAACTTAAGCACATAAATACTTTCTTGCCAATAATTGCATAATTGGATCAGAGTGGTGGAAGTTCTGGTCTGCACAACAAGTTCTGGTCAGGATGGGCTCTGGCTCTGTCAATCTGTCCATGCAAACATTCATGTCAAACTTACTTTAAAAAATGCTCCCTGTACAACACAATATGTCAAAATGAGCCTATACTATGTTGACTAGCAGGAGTGTTGCTTAAGCCGAGAAATGCCCTCTTTTATTCCAGTCATAGTCAGTACCAACTCAAGGCTATATAAACGTCAGTACCAATGCCAAGAAATGTTTGTTGAAAGCTGAAAATTGGGCACGTGATGCTTTAAAAGTGTAAGACAATACACTCATCTGACCCCCAAGTGTTTCATTACCTATTTAGGTACATTAGCTATCATACAGCACACATATACCTAGCATTACATCAGCTGAAATGTTCCTGCAGGTACCAACGTACGAGTACCTACATGAGCATTACTGGTTTTAACCCGCGCACCGACGGGGGGGGGCGGATATCCGCCCCCCCCCTAAGGTTTTTCGCGGATAGCGGGAAAACCGCGGCGCGTAGCGCCGCGAAATTTGGTATGACTATTCTCTTATCAATTTTACACATGGTGTGCAAGTTTGAACCTCCTAACTTTTAAGGTCAGGTCACCAGGTCACTTTGAATGACCCAACCTCAATTCACTTTTTTGCAACTTTGTCACCGTGCCAGAGCTACAGTAGATGTCGGAGGCCTTTGAAAGTCGCAGGATGTTATTAGGTCATTAGTAGCTACAATTTGTATATCTCGGAATTTTGATGTCGGTGACCTAAGGTCAGGTCAATTTCGCGACCTCCCCATTATAAGTCAATGGGGGAAAAATCAACTCCCTGTTTTTACCACTAAAACGGGTCGGAATGGCCCCATATACCATACATGACTTCACATACCATCAACCTTCACTACCTTGAGGTCTGTTTTGCTGTTGGGCAGCTGTAAGGTCATGTGACGTCATCAAAGGTCACCAAAGGTTTTTTGCCAATAACTCCTTACAGGAACAAGATACAGCCGCGCAGATGGTCTCATTGTGTTCAGCTCGTCAAGACGCATCGAATGATATACATGATGACCTCGAGGTCACGTGACCTGAGGTCAACCTTTGACCTTGGCCTTTCGAGGTCAACATATATCATTCGATGCGGATTGACGAGAGGATCACGATGATGCCCTTAGTTTGTTCCTATCTTGACTACTTCGAAAGTTATTCGAGAAAAACCCTCTCCATATCTAGCGCCGCCATTTTGACTTTTTCGACCCCTGTGACGTCATCTTTGACCTGACCTGAAAATGACCTTTGTAAAAATTGTAGACCTTGTCCGTGCGTATCCGATGCCGTTTACCGCTTGTCGCTATCTTGCTTCGTTCTCGAGATCTCAGGGGGGGCGGTCATCCGCCCCCCCCGTCGGTACTAAGTTGGCGCAGACCCCCGTCGGTGCGCGGGTTAACAGATCCGTTCCTATTTCAATTTGACGTACGACTATGACTAAACCTATCATCTGACAGATAACAACCTTACTATTTTCAATCAGTAAGGAGTAATGGAAGTTACAGGCAGTACGCCCGCTTCTGTATATACAAGACTACAAGATTTTTACACATTGGTCAGTTTCAGATTGATCCAATTTGATATTAAAGTTGAAATAGACGGATATTTGTCCCCATAGGTTGAGATGGGTGAGGACCTACACCTCAACCTTGACCTGCACGACTCACCACGAACCTCTCCAACACGAGAAATTTTGCCCTTTTATCGTTTTTAAGAGTCGACGCAAAATAGAAGGTAACAAAAGATGGTATTAGTAAGCGAAGATCACCTATCAGCACAAAAAATACCGTGAGCACACACAGAAAGAAATCAAAAATGAAAAATATCTTTCAATTGCCGTATAATTCTCTCCGAATCGCAATAGAAAACGTGAGCGCCAGATTTGTAATCCATTGTCGCAAAAGTGCCCTGAACATTCACTAACTATTCTGCTAGCGCGAGCATGACGAGCATCTTTGCTACAAAAACAGCAAATGAGCTCCTGAGTTTAGGTGCTGTCAACTAAAAGTGAAAGATTTTATGAATAGTGTGCAAGTTTTCTGTTGGGTGGGTAATGTGCGTTGATCATACTTACTTACTTACGATGTACGAGAATTTTGAAGGCCCTTAGGCCTGTGGGACTCTGACTTATTGAGCTCCATGACGATATCACTGCCTCAGTCATTGGAGTGGATGGTGTAGAGGAGGTGAGACCAGTGGCGGTCGAGCCTGGACTTGAATTCGTTCAGGGATCGCGCTTCAACCTCGCGGGTGACCTAATAACATTGTATAAACTTATTACTGGGAAACTCAAGACGGAAGCTGATATGTTGCAATTTAAACCAGAAGCAAGACATACAAGAGGACACACGTTACGGATCGCAAAAGTTAGTGTAAAGAAACGAGTACGAAGGTCTTTCCTCACACATCGGGCATGTAACTTATGGAATAGCCTTCCAGAGAAAATTGTGAGGTCAAAATCAACTTTGCTGTTTAAAAGAAGTGTGGACGAGTTTTTGAAGAGTGAGAGGCTTAAATTGGAGTAAATGCCACCGAATCGAGGAACTGGATGACAAAGCATTATATCCTTGAATTATCCCACGATCATCCTCACCCAGATCTGCCATATACCCACTCAATCAGTAAGGAGTAATGGAAGTTACAGGCAGTACGCCTTCTTCCGCACATACAAGACTTCAAGACTTCAAGACTTCAACCACATGAGCAGGAAGAGCATTCCAGTCATTGACTACCCGGACGCTGTACGCGTTTCGCCTCGATCGGGAAGACGCTCTCGGCTTCAACAGCTTCCAGGGGTGTCCTCTTGTAGTAGAGTCAGCCAACTCAAAGAATGACTCAGGATCGAGGTCAACACCCCCATGAAAAAGTTGGTACGTCATAATCATGTCACCGCGGCGCCTTCGATAATAGAGAGACGGGAGTTTCAGCGAGCGTAGTCGTTGGTCGTATGGTAGGCTCCTCAGTGATGGGATCATCTTCGTTGCTCGTCTCTGGACACGCTCCACCTTTTGCTGGTCAGCGCGATTGAAGGGGCCCCATACGATGTTGCAGTACTCGAGGTGCAGTCGTACCAAGGTCTTATACAGAAGCGGTAGCGTGGTGGCGTCGATGCGTTCGAAGGACTTGTGAATCACCGCGAGCATCTGGGAGGCTCTGGATACCGCTGCAGCGGCTTGTTCACGAAACTTGAGGTCCTGATCGATTTGGACGCCTAGATCACGCTCAACTTCAACCTCAGCAAGCTGGTAGTCTCCAATGACATATGACTCATGTGGAATGCGCTTTCCAACGTGGATAACCTTGCACTTTTGGGAGTTGAAACTGAGGCACCACTTGCTGGACCAGTCGACAGCCGTGGAGATATCCGCCTGGAGCAGAGCCGCATCAGAGGGGTTCTGAACAGGACGGTAAATCTTCGTGTCGTCCGTGAACATCTGTATCCCGCCTTGCATAAGGCCTGGAAGATCGTTGACGAATAGGACGAACAGAAGGGGTCCCAGGACCGAGCCCTGAGGAACGCCGCTACTGACTGTGGCCCAGTCAGAAGATGAACCGTTCAGGACAACCCGTTGTTTTCTATTGCACAGGAAACTTGTTATCCATCTGAGCAGGTGTCCACCGATCCCATATGCCCTGAGTTTGTGGAGGAGTCTCTGGTGGGGCACAGTGTCGAATGCCTTAGAAAAGTCCAAATAGATAGCGTCCACTGTCTCGCCCCTCTCGATCGCCCTGCTCCAGTCCTCTAGAGTAGCTAGCAGCTGAGTTGCGCACGATCTTTTTGGACGGAAACCATGCTGAGCGTTGTGGAGCTGGCCAGTAGAGACCATATGGTTCATAATGAGGTCCCGAATGATGGACTCTAGTATTTTGCATGGAACAGCAGTCAAACTGACGGGCCTGTAATTTGTCGGCAGCTGTTTGTTCCCCTTCTTGTATATTGGGACAACTTCGCCCAGCTTCCATTCGGATGGAACCTCACCTGACGCTAAGGACATGTTGAACAGCCGTGCCAGAGAAGGGGCAATAGACTCGGCAGTCTCAGAGAGGATTCGTGGGTGGATGCCGTCGGGGCCCGGGGAGCTGGCGGGCTTGAGACCCTGAAGCTTGTTGATGACTGCCTCTGGGGTGATACTTACAGGCTCGAGTTCGGGACCAGAGTACCTCGCATGGAATGGAGGCATAGTGGAGTCTTCGACAGAGAAAACGCTGGAAAAGTACTGGTTAAGAACAGCTGCTTTTTCTCTGTCTTCAGTGGCGAGGGAGCCGTCCGCATGCAGCAGGTGCTCAACCTTGGACCTGGTCTTGGTTCGAGAGTGGACGTATCTCCAAAAGTGCTTGGGGTTCATTTTTATGTCGCACGCCAGTCTGGTTTCAAAGTCAAATCTCAAGTTTCTGGTCATCCGTCTGAGGTCGTTTCTGACTCGAACAAAACGGGCATGATCTATGGGGTCTTTGGTGTGCAGATATTGAAGCCACAAAGATCTTTTCTTCTTCTTCAGCTTGAGTACCTCTTTGGTCATGTAAATATTTTTCTTCACTATTCTCCGTGAGACACGAGGGACACACTTGCTGATGAGGTTCATGAGCAGACTCTTCCAGTGGTTGTACTGCTCCTCAAGAGGCTTGTCCTGTCCAATGTCCCAGTTGGCATTTCTAATCTGGTGATTCAGAAGACTGAAGTCGATTTGGTGGAGGTTAAGACGATTTGATCCTGACACGGTTCTAACAGCATAGCATTCAAGATCGAATGAGATCATGGCATGGTCGCTGCGGCCGAGGCCGTGGTGGTACGTGACATTTTGAACCATCCCTTCTTCGTTTGAAAAGATCAGATCAAGAGTGCTAGGCACCTCGCCAATTCTAAAGCGGGTGGGTTCTGAGACGTGCTGATGAAGAAAACAGTCCTGAGTAACTTCAACAAAAGCATGAGAGATGTGGTTGGGTGGTGCTGATGAGATACCCATTTCCCAGTTGATTTGAGGCAGGTTGAAATCGCCAGCAAGCAGTATGTGAGAGTAGTTCAATGATGTCACATGGTGGATGAGGTGATCAAGCATTTGCACAGAAGCAGTTGCATCACCTGAGGGACTGCGGTACAAGCAGCCAATGAGCAACTTGTCTGGTGCGGACAGAGCCAGGTCAACCCACAACTGCTCGCTGAAGGGGATATGACCAAAATTTATCTCAGTTGCCTGAAGGCTTTTGTGGACATATATACTTATCCCTCTCATGCCGCTGCTGCCCAGGCTGGTGTCTTGAGGGTTGAAGTTGCAGTACATAGAGTAATCATTGATCATGATAGGTGAATGGTGTATTAATAAATTAGGCTGCACATTTGATTTGAATGAGTTTTTGTCGGGCTGGATTTGTGTGTGGTAATTGTCGTAGGTGGGTACCTACCTATTTGTACTGTAAGAAGACCAGTGTTAATATGTACCTGTATCATTCTCTATTGCTTTTTTAGGTAGGTAGGTACCCATTTACTATTTGCAACTGAGTTCCCCTACTGTTACATTGCAGAACTTGCATAAGCACAGCTGAGGAGACTTCTACCTGGAGTTTTAAAAAGGTAAGTAAATAATGACTCTCATCAATCATCATGTTTGACCAGTTTGCAAAGTATGGCAATTTGGACGAGATCTTGTAGGTGCAGGCTAGTGTTCGGCTGTTGCGGATTTGGTGCAGCGCAATGCGGATTTGGAGTGGTGCGGTGCGGATTTAGTGTAGTTCGATGTGGAATTGGCTTGGCCTAGCGACTGGCATGGCAGACCAGACGAGATAGAGGAGGAAAATTGAAGAAAAACATTATTGGAGGTTCGACGTGTAATTCAGTGTGCTCTCGGGTCTAATTGAGTGAGTGGTGGTTAGAACGGACTATACCAGTGATAATCACGTAGGTCGCCCGCAAGTTCCCACTGTTACAACACGAAACTCACCATTCGGCTCTGTGAGGCGCCGGCAGTGGAGTGGGAGAGATGAGCACTGAGCTGGGTGATGGGAGGGATTCGAGATGGGCACAGTCGATGGCAGGCCTAGATCACCGCTCCATCGCTTCAAACAGTCAAATACGGATCAGGTATCAGGTATCAGGAAAGAATCTGAGGACTGAGGTTGTTGGATTCTGCAGCATTCGTAAACGAGATGCGCTCGGCTCATGTGAGGATTTGGCTTTGTCGCTTGGTGGTAGAGCGAGATGCGTACAGCTGATGGCAGACCTTGAGGAGTGAGGACCACCACTTTGCCACGGCTAAGTAGTCAAAACCGCTGTGAATGACTCGCCTATCAGATTTGTTGTACGATACACTAAACAGCTGTTGACCGGTGCGCCTCGTCGACCTACGAGCCAAATTTTGCAGTATGGATGCTTGGGCTAAGGGCAAATCAGGCCTGTGTCCCTACGTCAGTTGGTAGTTCAGACATGCAACTGACTCACCTGTTCAACTTAACTGAGCCATCAGTTCCCATAAAAGTGTCATTTCCTGGGTAGGCATTAGCCAATGAAGAGTCTTCCTGAGGTCAGCTTTCATCCGAAGACATCCAACACAACATGCTGGAACCAATCATGGATGCATTTGCTTACTAATTGCTACCAGGGCGGCTGAGTGTAATACCTAATTTTTAATGTGTGCAACAGGTGCGGCTGTGCCATGTGCTTGTGTGCATGCTGTGAGGTCGGAGGGCACATGTATGTTGATTGTTGCTGGATCATGGATGGTACCTACTGCATGATTTTTTTTTTTTTAAATAAATTTAGTCTGAGCCTTTTGATAGGAAGGATTCACAAAGACAGAGCCACCGTGAGGCGAAGCTTGTTGCGGTGACCCTGCCCCCTCCGAAAGCGCAATTTCAGTTCTATGGCAGAATTTAGAGTCCAAAGTTTAACGTGCGCACATAGCCGCGCACGGCCGGTCCCCTCACTGACTTCGCCTGGCTACGGCCTGCCACCAACTGCAACCATACCTGTCAGGAGGCCCATAGGCCATAAATGATAAGCGCCCGTCGCGCTTCGAACCCGGACTGTTATAACCGGGAACGCGTGCCCTCACCACGCGGAGTCCAACGCTCTACCAACTGAGCTACGGGACCGGCTATATTTGTGTTACTGCATCAAACAATGTCTGATGCAGTAAAAAGTAGTGTAATGAAAAACAGTTTGTTCAAAGGCCTTTCCTGGTTAATAGTTACTTCAGATGACCCCTGCTGATTGTGACCCTGGTTCAGGGTCCAGTACCTGTGTACCTACAAGTTTTGTCTTCCATTGTTGTGTGTTTGAATTCCTCACAAGCATGGCTACATGTGGGATGTTGTTGGATATGCTGGAGATTAGGTTTTTACAGTCCCTGATGGAGTAAAGAATGCTAGCTATCCTGAATATGGAACTGCTTTTAAGAAGGACTTATTGTATCTAGTTTCCAAAATAATTGAGCACATTATGTGACTCCCTGTACCATAGCTCAGTTGGTAGAGCATTGGACTCCAGGTGGTGAGAGCCTGGGTTTGAGTTGCTCCGGCAATCAATTCATAGCCTGCAGTTGATGGGAGTGGAGTGGCCATAGCCAGTTGAAGTCAGTTAAGTGGGACAGACTGTGCATGGCTTTGATGGGCATGTTAAACTTTGGTGTTAAAAAATCGGAACTGCGTGATCGGTCGGTAGGGGTCGGAGTCGACGCACAAGCTCTGCTTAGCGTAGGCTCTGGCTCTGTCAATCCGTCCATTCAAACATTCGTGCAAAATTTACAAAAAAAAAAGTTTGTTGGTTGTCGATCAGAGTACGTCTTCTTGACCTAGTAGACAAGGCTTGAATCATGAATGAAGTTCAGCCTTGTATTTTTAATGACCACTTCTCATTCTTTCAATGCTACACCATTTTTCGTTCTTTTCTGATGTCTGCTGTTGAGCAGCATTTGTGACGTTCATGCCAGTCAAAATTCTGGTAATGCGATGATCTATGTTTGATATCAGAACAACAACTTCAGAGAGGCTTTTCACCTTTGGGCTCTCATAGCATGAATCTGATAACCTCCGCTAATGCTGTCCTTTCTCATTGAACATCAATCTGCGACTATCCAGTGTTTAGTTCACTAAGGTATATTAATTATTTTACAATATAGTCTTTCGGTTGTGTAGGTGGCTCAAGTTCAAAAGATAACGTTTGTTTATTTCTACACGGCACGATAATCACATTTTATCACAAAAGGAATTTGTACCTGGAGCATGATTCTGCGGGTCATGCACTCGACTCGAGGTCGAGTGTCTGCTGACTGGCACTTTGGCTGCCCGCTCCTTGTCTGTCGTTGCTCCTATATCTCCCCACTTGATCTCCTGTGACGTGGAAGGTCGCACGAGGCCATGGCGCTGCCGTGCTCGTCACGTGATCACGTTACGAAGACACGGGTAGGTATACGCGTGTCAGGTGACGGCTCGACCGGGAATATACGAGATATAAGTGTTGATTTAGGTAAGAATGGTGATCAATTATACCAGGGCTACCGATCAATGGATTTCGGTGACTTCTACTCCGGCCTCCAAAAATCAAATCCGACTCCGTCTTTGGGTAGAACTATCGACTCCGACTCCGACTCCGCAGCCCTGAGCAGACTATATTGAAGAAATTTGCCAAAATATCAAGCGGAGATCGTATTCCTAAGTTCACACTGGTGGATCTTAAGGTTTGAGCGGTGCCACACCGGCAGGCCTGTGAGCTGACCGGTCACCGCACACTGCACTGGCTGCTTGGCGCACGGCAATGGTCGGTTCTTCACTGGCGGTGATCCGTCCAGTCTTCCAAGCGATGCCGATCTGATGACATGGACGTCTGACTTTTGTCCGCCGGCTCGACAGCTTCTGTTGCTGGCTTAAAGTATCAGACATCGTTCAAACATACTTCCCTCGTTTTATAGTCTCATAATAGGTGAACCGGTGACCTAAAAAGTTTTGTCTTGGCGTGACATTTTCTGTCATGTCAAGGTCATGTCATGCCATGACCCAAATGTCATGTCATGTTGTATTCTGGGGGGGGGGGGAGGAGGGTAAACACAACATATGTTAACTTAAAACAATAAGCTTGGTAACCTACATGACCATTACGTTTGTCTGTCGTGCTCGTTGAACGATTAAGTTTTATTTGAAAACCTAGTGTTGAATGTTTTTATGTACAAGGTCAGGTCAGGGCGACATCGAAACTGGCATTACAATCAAATAAAAAATAATCTCACAGATGGTCCCAATGCGTTCTGTGGTGCAAGACTGGTTTCCTGTAAATGGGCTGCGCTGTTTGAATCTTCATTCTCAATCCATACATTCTTTTGCTTATATCGTACAGCGAAGGCGCACCCTCGTCCAGTATTCTTGTTCAAAAATACATATACCATTATCACTGCAGATATAGGTGTATTCCGCGGCACCTAACTTCCGGAGTGAATCTGAGCTGAAGCCTATTCAATGACCATGGCATGGATGATTCATCCATGGCCATGGTGTAAGAGATCGTGATCTAAATAAAACTGGTAGGTCTTTCAGGCCGTTTGCAGAGCCTTGCGGATCATTGGGATTGAGTTTATTTTTGTTCGGTCATCGCTCTTATTCATAGGCGTAGGAACAGGGGGGGCCGGGGGGGGCCATGGCCCCCCCACTTTCGGAGGTGGGGGGCCAGCAATGTTAACTGCCCCCCCCCCACTTTTTGCTGACTTAAGTGTCTGTCTGTACCTAGGTACCTACCAGTGCTACCACCCGGTAACTTGACAACAATTCAGCTTGCCCTTGAAGATTCCCTTTTGTTTCTACAGCGTTATTGACCGCAATTTCCTTCACTCAATGAAGGAAACCATATCAGAGACAAGACTGTGGGTCCTGGTGACAGCATTTTGTTGAATACGAGGCACGGGACAGCGAGCACTGAAAAGGTATAAGACAATACTAGCACGGTGCAGGAGAATGCGTATACCAACGACCAACGCTTGACCGGATCTGCTTGGGGTCGGCATAGTTCGTCAAAGGCGTACTAGCTGGGGGCCAGGGCGACCATGCCCCCGCCTCGGCTCAAACAGGCTGGGGGCCAGCAATGTCTGTATCTGCCCCTTCCCTTCCACTTTCAGTGCAGTGGCGGTCGCAGAGGGGGATCAGGGCCATGCCCTTCCCCCCTCCAAAGGCTAATCAGGGGGCCATCATATCATTTGCCCCCCCCCCCAAACAACCAATGGGCCCCCATGGGCGTATGGGGCTCTGGCCCTTATTCGATTGTCACGAGGCTCAAGAATCCCACGCTAGCTATTAACAGCTCCCAAGCCAGTCTTTGAGGGTCCTACACTGATCTTGGAGGGCACTTCAGTGGCGGTCAAGCGCCGACATTGACCGCTGAGAACCCACATTGACCTCATTTGAGGGCCCCTAAACTGGCCTCAAGGGCCCAGTCGGCGTCTGAGGGCCTCACACCGGCCTCTGGTGGCCTCATTTCTGTCTCTGGGGTCCCAAGACTAACCTTTAGGTGCCTCTGAGGGTCCTGCACTAAATTCTGATTTGTGAAGACCCGATGCCGGCCTCTAAGGTCCGCATCGGCCTCTGAGGGTCCAT